ATTTAGATGCAGGAAAGTAAGATGATGTGGTATTTCCTAAAGATAAACATAGGTTAATGGAACAAATACAAGGGCTAGAGATAGGACCCACATACATATGTGGTCACTTAATCTTTGATAAAAGTGTCAGGGTAATTCACTGGGGGAAAGACAGTCTTTTAAACAAATGGTATTGATATAATTGGGTATCATATGGGGAAAAAGTAAAATTTATTACCTAACATTACACAAAAATTAACTTGAAATGGATTTCATTTCTAAGCGTAAAAAGCAACAGTATAAAATTTCTGTTTTATAGAAGAAAACAAGAGAAAACTTTAGTGACCTTGGTATAGAAAAGATTTTTTAGAATACAAAAGCAGAAACAATGAACTAAAATATTAACTTCATTCAAATTAAAAACTTTTGTTCTTAAGAGGTATTAGAAAAGATAAGCTACAGATCAAAATGAAATACTGTATTTATAAACAGATATATAATAAATGATTTGTATCCAGAACAGATTTTAAAGACCCCTACAATTCAGTAATACAGCCAACCCAATTTTTAAAATAGGCTAAAGATTTGATGAAACAGTTCACTAAAGGAAATATAGAACTGGCCAAAAAGTACATGAAAAGATGACCAACACCATTAGACATTAAGGAGATGTGATACAAGTTTGAAAAAATAAATATATCACTACACACCTACTGGAGTAGCTAAACTTAAAAAGGCTGACTATATTATGTGTTTGAGACAATGTAAAACAGTGAGAGCTCTAGCATGTGGTAGTAGAAAAACAAAATGGCCCAAACCTTTTAGAAGACAATTTGGAAGTTTCCTCTAATGTTAAATATACTTGCCATATGACCTGCTCCTAAGTATTTTTACTTAGTCCCATTCATAGCTACGGTATTTACCCAAGAGATGAAAATGTAGTCCATGCAAAGCCCTATGTTCAAATATTTACAATAGCTTTATAAGAGCCACAATTGGAAACAACCCAGATGTCCATCAACTACTGAATGGATAAACAAATTATGGCATATCCATAACATTGACTACTACTCAGTAATGAAAGGATTACACTGCTGCTACATGTAACAACATGGGTAGATTTCAAAAGCATTGTGTTATGTAAAAATGGTTGCCAGGGGTAGAGGTGGAAGGAGACAGTCCAGTAAAATGTAGCACAGGGGATTTTGGGGGGTGATGAAATATCCTGATACTAGTCATAGTTACTTGAATATACAGATTTGTCAAAAATCGTAGAACTATGCACTCCTAAAAGTGTAACTATAACTTAATAACTTTCACTTTAAAAACACATCCACATACAGGAGAGGATTTTGAACTTCCTTCCTCATTGAAAATGCAAATTATAACGATGAGAAAACTTTCTGAAACCCCTTAAATTTGGTTATATCTGCACATTGCTAACAAGGACATAGGAAGGAATCATTTAAACTTAAGCATCAGAGCAGTACTTGAACAAAATCTTTCAAAATTTAAAATGCACAAATGTTTAATTCGGAAATTTCACTTTCTGGGACTTTTTCTATAGGTAAGACATATATAAGTAAATAGTAATTTATATCATAGCAAAATCTGAGTAACAACCTTAATTTCCATGGAAAGGAGGTTTCACATTAACTATGGTACAGCTATACAGTAAAGTACTGTGAAGTGGATATATTTATGTGCCAGTATGTAAGTGTTTCAAAAGAGATTGTTAAATGAAGATAACAGTGCTCAGAATGACATGTAGTATGCTCTCACTTGTAGATTTATTTGGCTTCAGTCCTGGAGATTGAATGCGGAGCCTTGCACATGCTAGGATATTTGTATTTTTTTAAAAGTATATGTATTCATTTATATGCATATATGTGCATAGACTGTTAGAGACTGGCTGTGTGCATGCGCACACACACACACAGACTGATACTAGTAGTTCCCTGTACCATAGAAAAGACTTATCCTTTTTATGTATTTAGTTTTGACTGAACTTTTTTACTAAGGGTGTATATTAATCTTCTCAGTTAAAGAGAAAAATATCTCATTTGCATACTTTGTAATAGATTGCTAGGAAATTTAGGAGTACATAGAGCTCTGCATGACCTCCATTGTCTATCAGTGATGCAACAGTGGACCACATTGTTCTTGGCTCTGGTCTGGTGCGATCTCCCTGAGATGACCTCCCTTGTAAGCACTGCTTCCAGCCTTTTAGTTTTCTTAGTGTCTCTTAGTTTTCTGAATTCATGTAAATGGTGGGAGAGGAGATAAACTCAGTCTACTTCACCTACTTGGTGGGTTTTTGTACACTGGACTGCTCCTCTAAATTTTCTTTTTTTTAAACTAAGATCTAGAAGGTCAAGGGAGAAAGTGGGGAGAAATGTGCTGAGTTCTGCAGAACACTGTAACTGACATCTCACTGCACACTGAGATGCCACCAGGCAGCTTCTGTAAGTGAAGGGAGCATCGGGAGGGCAGTACAGGCCTTGGCAGCACCCTGTGTCAGTGGGGTAGCTTGGGAGGCTGTGTTCAATTTAGTTTAGATATTAAATGAAGTAAAACAAACGTGTTCAAGTTATGAGCCTTGCCTCATCAGAGCTATAAAAAGCCCTTTAGCCGAACTGTAATTTGACTCTCCTCCCTGAAATGTTATGCAATATTCCTATGGTTACAGAGTAATAGGTAGAAGCTAATCATTAGTTTGCTAAATGTGGTTCATGGAATAGTTCACAACTCCCAGACCTGCCAACTGCTGCTGGTTTAGTTTCATGTTCACTCTTTTTGGTTAGAAATTGGATTGTTCCTTAGAAAAATGTACAGTAACATTTGTCTCGGGTCCAGAAACCTTGCAGGGTGGCAGCTCTCCATGTGTCTTGGGGACGGGAAAGGAAAAGGGTCATACTAAACAAAAATTTTTGGATACATATGTGTCTGCTGGAAGAAGTTATTCAGGGAGTGTAAGGTGACAAAGAAATTAAAGCTGTAGTCGTATTTTTGGGTTTTTCTAGAAACTTGCTATGATAGAAATCTGTAGAATGTGGTTCCAGAAATAAAATCATACTCTTAAAGGTTCTCCCTTGTTTGTTTCATGGACAAGAAAGATTTTGTTATTGCCCCCAGGTCACCTGCAAACATCACACAGGTCCTCTGGCTGTTTAAGCCACACATACTATGGACTGAGGCCCTTTTCTGCCTCCTGCACATGGAAATGTCAAGGGAAACTGCTGAGAGCAGTAGGTGCTGAGAGCAGTAGGGACATGCTGGATTTACGCCCTTACCTGGGAATTAAAGGTTAAGTCTTTAAGCCATTCTTGAGTATTTGGCCTCTTCCTGTTAGGATAAAAGTGAGTTTGTCCCCCAGGAAATAGAAACTATGCTGTGGCCACCTGTGACTCATTCATCTTTCTCCATTGAAAGGCAGTTGGGCTGAAGGAAGAACCTCTTTTCTCGGTTGATGTCAGTTCTTGGGGACCATCCAGAAAGAGATATTCCAATGGCTCTGTCTCTTTATTTGGTGTATCATTTAGATATCTTCAGATTATTAAAAACAGAAAAACTGACCAAAGCTAGCTAATAGACGAAAAGAGGGACTTCTTGGCTCTCATGATTTAAAAGGTATAGCTAGATATAAGGGCTGAAGCCATCCCCTCAGCACACACTCTCTCAGTTTCCCTGTCTCTGGCCTTGTTATTTGGACTTACTCTCAGGCTCTGCGGTTACATAATCTGCCACGTTCAAGCCCAGCAAACAACCACCCGCCTCCTGGAAAAGTCCTGATGTTCCCTATGGCTGACTGGCTTAGATTTGAGGCCATCCCTCAACCAGCACACGAGAAAGTGGTATGCTGCTGTCCTGAATATCAGTCCCTACCCCTGGAAGGAATAAGAAAAGGAGTGCTCCCCAACTGGAAGTGAGGCGCTGCTCAGAAAGAACAGGAGATGAGGAGCAACTCTTGGTCCTTAGCCAGTGTGAGGAAGCTGTATTCTCGCCTCAACGTACTGAGACTCCCTTGCCCTCCCACCAGTTTGCGTGTGACCTGAGCCGCCAACGCAGTTGACAGCATGCTGTGGGGTTCTGCTCATGGGAAGCCATTCATACTCCCAAGCCACCGACTCTTACTCTCCTCTTCCTGTGTGCTAGGCAGGAATACTACAGGAAGCGCTCTCCTTTTACAGCACCTGTACTTGAAATACACACGTTCGTTTAAAACTCCGCACAGGAGGAGACTAAAGCGGAAATTATCACGAGCCAGTGTAACTGGGGTCGTGCTCACTGCACATCTGATCTTAATGTAATTTTTAAAACATATGAAAGCAGTGGAATCAAGTCATGTAGTTTAGAAAATACAAAAACCACAATTTCACCACTTTAACCCAACCGCTATTTTAATTTTAGAGTATTTCCTTTCAACCCTCGTTCATATGAGTTTCTCACAAAGTTTTATATCTTGGTTTGTTTTTCATTTGACATTACATAATACATTTTCCATATTGCTGTACAGTCATCAGTATCATGTAAATGGCAACATAATATTCTTTTAGGAAGACATACTGTAAGTCATTTAACCATTCTTTTATGAGTCGGCATTTTAGGTTGTCTAACTTTGTGCTTTTTCCACTGTTATAAAGAGTCTGTAGAACATTTCTAGGATTAGTATCTTTCTCATGCCTTATCTTATTTCCTGGGGAGAGATTGTGAGAAATGGGATTACCGGTTCAGAGGATATAAACATTTTTAAGACTCTAGATGATACATATTGCCAGATTGCTTTTCAAAACTGTTGGATTTATCTCTCCTGCCTCCAGCAATTTATGAGAGAATCACTTTCACTGCATTCTTCCAGCACTAGACATTTGGGCTTTTAAGTATTTCCTTGATATATTAAGCAAAAAGCATGTGTCATTTTTGTTTTAATTTTCATTTCTGCATTACTAACGAGGTTGAATGCACTTGTTTATTAGCTGTATTTATGTTCTGCTTTATGCACTGTTTTTTCTTTATTTTAGATCCCAAAATGGCTTCAGAGACGGAAACAGATATCTGTGCTGAATGGGAGATAAAGACCATCACGAGTGCGCTGAAGACCTACCTAAGGTAGGGACTTTCCATGTGCAGGGCAGGGTGCCAGCTACTTCTCATGCAGTCAGGAAGGCAGCAGTTTTATTTTCAACCTCCAGAGAGCTGCTGGGTGGGTGTTTGAAAAGTGGAAACAGCTTCTGTGTAGGTGCATTTATTTTGGATGGTCAAACTGATTGTAAATCATCCATAGTTGAGGGCTGCCATTTTGGGATGGTTCCAAGAGTGCTTTAGGAAGCTTTGCTCTTAATGAGAAGCACTGAGGTAAATAGCCTGGAACGAAACCTAAAATATGGTCTTCCCTGAATAATCTGTTAATAAAAGAAATCATGTATCACATTCTGCTGAGAATACATGGTTCCATATCATCTATATTTTGATAGTTTTGTGCTCTGCCCAGAGTATATTGCTTACATTGGTCCTTAAAAGTGAGAACTTAGTAGAACTCCATTTGACTCCTTCCACTTATGTTAGGAAGTACTGTACAGTTCATAGTACGACCTTACTGAAGAGACTGTTTTCCTTATATTCCTATAAATGGTGTTACTGCTGCCTCTTTCTCTGTCCCTCGGGTTACTGACTACTTTTTGTATCTCTGTTTCATGAATAGACAGAAGGATGGACTAGAAAGATGAGTATTGTAGTTCACATTGAAGTCAGAAGTAAGATGAAATGTAAGGGGTGACTAAGAGATAAATTAGGGTATCCAATAAGAATAAAATCTAAGCCATGAATGATGCATAGTTTGTTGAGTTTATTATGTGGATTATCAGAAAAGAACTCAAGTTTTTATTTAAATATATTCATACTTAGCAGGTGAAATCTGCTTGTATTATGCCAGTGTTAGGGGTTCTAGCCTGGTGGCACCCTGGAGCAAAACTCCACTCTGGAATAAAATACCTCCAAAGTTTTTTCATAGTGTTTCCAACTGAACTGATACCAACAACAAGCTGCTGCAAAGATGTTTAAGCACAAGTAATTGTAAATGTGCAATTAGTTGCTTGTTTCTCAGACACATCCCAAAATGCTCTTGTTGATAGGTGAGTCACTGACTGAAAAGGAAATCTCCTGGTTTGTGTTAGACTTTTGCATTAGCACCTTTCTAGCTGTGCCTATGAAGTATAGCTGTAGCGATTCCTTCCAAAAAGATGGTGAAGATTTCAGGTGAAATCCCAGGTCCTTTTCAATCAGGATACCAAACTGAGTTGCTTTTGTTTTCCTGTGATTTTGTCTTTGGGAAATGTAATACCCTTTTTGCAGTCTTTAGGCTGCTGTTTAGAGAAAATGTGATTATTTTATTATTGAGCTGACTAGTCTGTGTCTTTATATTCCAGAATGCTTCCAGGACCACTCATGATGTACCAGTTTCAAAGAAGTTTCATCAAGGCAGCAAGTAAGTCATCTTTTCTTTCAGTTTTAAGAGGAAGAAAATAGATTTTTCTTTTTCAACCAATAGCCAATATCTCAAAATAAATACTTTCTAATCTATGTAATCTGCATCTCAGTTCTCACATGCATGCTTAGAAGACATAGAATAGAAATGAAGCCAAATCATAACTGCTAAGGGCCTTGCTATGACAATGAATTTATAGAGGGGGTTAGAAACTTCAGAGGTGTTTTTTTTTGAGTGAGGACAAAGAAGCAAATTTGCCTTTCTAGTTTTGATTATTGGAGTTCCAACTTCTTGGGTTTTTCCCCCTCCTTTTGTGGCATTTTATAGAATGAATCAGACATTGCACATTACCTAAATTGAGCACTGGAAGTGTTTCTCTGAATGCAGTACCATTTATATAACTTCACAGTCCTCTTCCCATCAGCTCTTCTGATCATTCTTAAGTTGTATCACCCAACTCCCCAAAGTTATATTACTGGTATTAAAATACATAGGGAATAGGTACGAGCTAGCCTATGTGTGCTGGAATCTGTCTACGTAGTATAGGCCTGTTGTAAGGGCCATTTTGATTCTCTATCAGGTTTAAACCTGGAGTGAATCCTCACAGTATTATTGTGTCAGTAGCTTGTGCCTCTCTCTTATTGCTTTCAGACTTTAGGGTTTGTTTACCCTTGCAACTACTACTGTCCTAATTTAGTAGTACCTCATGTTCTGGTGACTCATCTACTCATAGCTGTCCCCTTAAAATTGGGAGGAGAAAGACATGGGAGAAAGCTGAGAGTATAGATGGTGTTTATGTGATTTCTTTCTCAGAAAAATTCCAAACCCGTAGCAACCATTCTCTAATTAAAACTCACATCAGCCCTATAAATAGAAGAAATGAATATCAGCAATCTACTTCCCAGAGAAATGAAACCGCTTACCCAAGTTTAACCAAAAGGGTATGACAAGCCATGCTGTAAGTCACAGGGTGGCAGTGAGAGTTAAATACTTTGTCTGCCATTGCTTTCTTTGTACCAGGCTACTGTCATGCATACCTTGAGAATAATGGGGATTCCTTTTGGTTTCTTTGATGTAGTCCTGATATATTATTTTGCAATTTGAGACCTTTGCAGTGTTGTTGATGGAAGATTTGTTTATCACTTTCTGAGTGCATAAAGTTCCTTCCTTCCTTGAAATGAAGTTTGCCCTCTAGGGAGCCAGCTCCTCCTGAGTTTGTTCCTGCTTTGAGTATGCAGTTGAGTAGGTCCCTTTCAACACGTCATCATTTTGGTTTGAATATTTTGACAATCGTTTAGATGAACCCTGTTACAGAAAGCACCATTTAAAAGGACTTAAGAGCTCTAGTTGGTTGTGCTGGTCATGCAGTTCACACACAGGACAGGATCATAAATCTTTAGAGAAGTATTTGGTCCGTTAGTGTCCAAACTTTGGTTCCCCTTGATTTTGTCTTTTAAAGCAAGTTGACTATGAAACTGATAAAATATTACCTCCCTTCTTCCTTCACAGAGCTGGAGAACCAGGAGACTCGGGTCTCTGAAATCCATAGCCTTGTTCACCGACTCCCAGAGAAAAATCGGCAGATGTTACAGCTGCTCATGAACCACTTGGCAAAGTAGGTTTATAACTGATTGCCGGCCCTTGTCTCACCCCAGAAAGTTCTTATCTTAGCAGTAAAGCCGGTTTCAGTTCTGCTTATATTTCCCTCTCCCACTATTGCATCAGGTATACTGGAGGCTTAGGAAAGAAATGTGCGAAATGTTAACTGCAGTGGATAACAGCAGTAAATGCCAGATGGCTTTCACGGAGGAGGCTGGGGAAGTGCCCATGAGACTAGGCTGCCAAACAGCATTTGCAGGGAAATTTTGCTCTTGTCCTGATCAAGGGTAAACCAGAATGGGTCATCCACAATGCCAGGTCGCCACACAGAGTTTTTAAGGCTTATATGTTCTTTTGATGATCCAAGGACATACTTGTATGTTGTGAGTTTATAGAACTTGGATTTGGAGTAAGGAGGCCTGGATTCTAGAACTGATTATCTTCTGAAGAAGACCCTTAACCACTTTGGAACAAACCCCACTGAGCTTTTCATCCCTTAGTTTCTTCATTTGGCAAATGCAGATAACAGAGTCTGACTGTAAGGTCACTGACTTTAAAGCCTTTGAAGAAATATACAGAAAAAAGGAATTATTTTTGGCAAATGCTCACTTGTCCTCTGAAATAATCAAAGCATTTAGTGAGGGCCTGATTTTCCTGTTAGAAGTATTTACATTGTTGGAATGATTTTGAATTTTCTGTGTATTTACTGTGGCTGGACTCTTTTTGGAATGGCCTTCCCTTACTGTGTCAGTCACTTCTGTATGTTATGTTCTAACCCTCCATTAGCTTTGATGGAATGTTCTTGATTGCAGACTGGAGCAAAAGAAAAGAATGAGCATGTAGCACTTAACAAAAACTGTCAAGCACAAAATTCTACTGAACTAATGTTTTAAATCTGGCCCTTACTAGCGCTTGGCTCGTGCTATTAAATCAGTCTTTTGGGATGAGTTGTTATTCATCTGAGGGAGATTATGGTGCTTAGTTTTTATGTATCTGAAAAGCATATTACATTGCCTTTTAGAGAGAAAGCTTGTCGGTACTGTCAGGATTTGTACCTATATGGCTGGGTGTGATAGCGCATGCCTGTAATCCCAGCACTCAGGAGACTGAGGCAGGAGAATCTCCCAGAGTTCCAGGCTAGCATGGATTACATAGTGAGTTCAAGGTTCAAGGCCAGCCTGAACTACATAGTAAAATCCTGTCTCAACACATCCCTCCATCAATAAAATGATTTGCACCAGTATGAAGAGGTGAATGTGATCTTTTGTTTGTTTTTGTCTTTTCCTTTTTATTTCATATGGTACAGACTTGATAAGGCATATGTTTTGTGTGTTAATGAGAAGCAGTGAGGTAGAGTTGCTCGTTATTGGTAGATTTTTTTTTCCTTGCCATGCCATATCAGAACTGCATGTCCAGAAACAAGTACAGCAGAGAACATACGAGTTTTTTGGGAGATTACCCCCAAAATGAATTCTGATAAGATGTGTTTAAAGTAATGGGAACCAGGCTTTAAAATGTAGCTCTACTTGTACTGAGATGACAGTTTAGTACCTGCTCCACAGAACCCAGAGTCAGGCATTTGTTAAACAGTAAAGCTGCTTTTGATCTTAGTTGCAAAACTTTGTGCACTAGAAGAGCATGCGCTAAAACATGAGATTGCAGGTACTTACTTCAGCCAACTATATGTGGGGATGCTGGTGACTGCTGTATGCTCCTGCACCTGAAGGAGGCCTTGAGGACTGTTGGGAGCAGCTGGAGAAGGGTTAGGAACCAGCTGAAGGCAGCAGGTCTTGTCAAACTGCAATGGGAGTGAGTGAAAGCTTCCTTGGACTGAAAGAGACCTAGAGTGAATGGTGATCCAGCAGGGCCAGGATTGATTGCCCTGAGAATTGTTAGGACTCTTTAATGAGGTGAGGAAGCAACCAAACTCTGAAGGTAACTCTTGAACAGTTGAGCCTATTCATCCCCTGATGGATGAATGATGTGTGGTTCATTTCTCCCTTTGTTCCACCCTTTCATTCCCCAATTCCATTAAGTTCACTCTAACCTTGTTCCTAACCTAAGGCGTAATATAACTGGCATATGAGAGTTACAGCTGTGCTCTTGAATTTTTGCCTTTTTGTTGTTGAAGTTATTTATCCCATAGCTTTTCTGGGGCATTGTATCTTAGTTTTGATACTTGAGAATGACTTTCTTTGGTCTTATGGAATTATTTTATTCATTTAATCATTAAGAAATCTACCTAAAGATGAACTCTCAGTGCCTTAGTGTGAGTTGGTCAGAACCAGTAGTAGAAAGCACAGTCTGCACTTCTGAGTGTGCTGTGTGTTTGGTCTACAGAGCTTCCAGATTTAAAATGTTCCTGAGGAGGGAAATGGGTGTAAGTGAGCACTGCTGAATCCAATAAAGAGTATTTATCTAGGTCTCGGAAAAGTCTTTGGCACCCACAGGAGTTCTAAAATTCCACTTAAACTATATTCTCACTTACAGTACTGTCCTTATTTTAAAATGCAGCTGTAAAGGAAAGTTAACTTGGGATAAGAGCTTTGTCTGATTCTAGTTTTCTCAGGTTCGGACTTGCCCTAGGATTTGTCTGAACTATTGTTCTTTTCGGCCACTTGCTTAATGGTCAGCTTCCTTCCTAAGTTTTGGTTTCAGGGCCTATTCTGCTGGAAAATCCAATGTTTACTTCTCTCATTACCCAGTGTTTGCCTCGTGCATCTCAGGCTTCTGGTTCAAAGTCAAGTCATTCTGTATTGTGTATTTTTTTAAAATACTTTTTTGAAAACTTTTCCAAAATTGATTTCCTTTAACTATTGAAGAAGAGTTAAGGCATTTTATATTAATCCTGAAGAAAAATACATTCAGAAAGAAAAAAGCCTTGGAGAGAGAAGATACAAGCTCCAAACCTCTTAAAAAGAATGATTACCAGGGTACATCCAAATCACAGAGATGCTGGGCTTGTTTCAGACCTCAGAGGGAACATAAAAATTATAGACAGCCATGCACATATTTTTGTCATTCCAGCTTCAATCTACTATTATAATTAGATGTTTTCTTTTTGAATCTTGGAATCTGGTATACAGTCTAGAGTCATGTGCCTCAGAGCATGGTTAGAATCACCTGGGGTGCGTGTTTACTTTGGCATTTCTAGGCTGCACTCTGGGTTTACTAAATGAGATCCCTCCTGGGAATCTGCATTTCTGTTTTGTTTCATAGGTAATTATTATATAAACAGTCTTTTGAGACCCGCTGGCCTATTGAATGGGCCATATGTAAAGATTTTCTAAAAGACAGAAATGGTATTAAGAGGAATATGTACTGGGATTTAGAAAGGTGTTAGAGGAAGAAAAAGCTTAAAGCTTCATGTTCACGGCAGCATTATCATCATGATTAAATTAGTAGAAAAAATGCTGTAAGACTTTGCAATTTGACTTTCCATTAAATTGAGCTTTCAACAAATGACTTCAAATCTTGTATAAAATATTTTTAATTATGAAGAAAAGCATTCCCAGGTAGCTTTGGAACTTTGTGCAAATTATTTTACCTCTTTGAGCCTCTGTATTCTGAGTTTCTTAACAATTCTGTGATTTTATGTTTTCATCCATTGGGGAGGGGGTACAGGAACAAGAAAAATATTTTTCTGATCTTATAATTGTAGAAGAAAATAAGAGTAGATGTGTAATAAAGACTAATTTCATGGTAGTTTCCTAATGCTTACATTTTACAATGACTCCAAATATGCTGTATATCCCCACACATACCATTCATAGTGGTCCACCGTAACTTTATTACAGTGTTTACGCAACACAGGAGGGTTTCAAAGAGCTCTCCATACATTCAGAGTGGCTATTAAAAATATCTTTTCACAGCTGGTTTTCCCAAAATACTGACTGGAAAATAAATCTTAGTCTCTTTTCTTTTTGGGGGTGGGCGTAGTTATTCTTTTGTTGCTAGGATGCTGCTAGAGAGGCAGAACCTTGTTTCTCTTCTCTGAGGTGGTGTCATTTAGGGTGCTTTTACCTGTACAAAACAGAAAATTGAATTCTAAATGGCTTAAACAATAAGGGGATCTATTGTGTAATTACACAAAATCAGTTCTGAGAGTTGGTTAATTTCTTAGCTCCTGAAGGACTCCAGTTATGTCTGTGTTCTTGCTGATTGAGCCTCATTGTGTTGTCCAGCTCCTCTCAGGGTCATAAAATGTTACATTGTGTCCCTGCACGTTAGTCCTTGATCAGAGGCAGAAGAGGTGTTGTTTCTACTTTGAGTGTCTTTGAGAACTATGGTGGCAATTTTTTTGTGATGATACTTTTCCCAGATGTTCTCTAGCAGACTTCTCATCACCTCTCCTTGGCCCAAAGCAATCACCAAAAAGGAGACAGGGACCACCATGCTTATTTGCACCATACAAGCTTTAGCTGAGCTACTTGTGGGAGACACAAACAGCAGAATAAAAGCTTAGCTTTGCATAGGCAGCCGACAGTATCTGCAGCAAAAAGTCTTCCTAAAATAGCATTCAACAGAGAGCATTAAATTGATTGAATGACTTTTGCATAGCTACCTACCTCAGTCGAGACATGTGGGACCAAAAGGCCAATTTGGGAGGACAGATGCGTACATGTGCACTAAACTGAGATTTTGTGGGGGGCGGGGTAGGTAAGAGAGAGAATGAAGATGGAAAAACAACTTTCCTCTCATTGCCTTTTTCTTTGTCCTGGTTGTTCTTTTCATTACCCATTTGTCTAATGTTTGCTTTGATCATCTGTTACATGTTGTAAATTTCCAGAAGGATAAAATTCTATCAGTTGCAGGGATCATGAAAAAAATTGTGGGACCAGCAGTTGGGATCCAAATGAAACCTTACCAAAATGTATAGACTGTATTGGCAGAAGTTACCAGGATTGAGTATCTGGTAGTATGGCTTTTTTCTCATTCTTGTGACTGGAGTTTGAGTACTTACAGGCTTCCCTATGAATCAGAGGATGTATTCATATTTTATTAGTGATCTAGAAA